TCCAAAATCTTATGGCACTATGCCAATTTTATACTACTCTTATTGATGAGACAAGCTTAAAACCAAGCAGATGAACTCAAAACATAAGGATGATTCTGGGTCACTGATATATTTAATTTTTATATTTTCGCCACAGAACCAAAACTGCTCTAGGTTCATGAAATAGCTAGAAAAATCATAGGATCATAGACAAAGAGCTGTAGGGACACTTAAAGGTAATTTATGCTGACCTCTTTTTATAAATGAGGGAACTAAAGTAAAAAGTTGTGACTTGACCAAGGTCCCACAGGTCCAGTGGTGCTAAAGTTAGCTTTCTTGAAGCACTCATTCCAAAGCATTGCATTTTCATCCAATGGTTTCTTCTTTGTTCTAGGGATGGCTCTATGAAGAATGATGAGATTTTCTTTTGGAAACTCACTATTTCATTGTTTAATCCTCCTATCCTCTCCCCTAGGTGATCAGGGCTCTTGTGCTGTTGGGATTCCCCATGCCCCCACTGGAGTGTCCCATAGAGACTTAACCATTTCTCAAACTGATTCTCCATTGGGCATTTTTGGCCCTAAAATACATTGATACAGCCTAGAAATTGTACCCTATGGGTCCTGGGGATATAAGATATGATTGGGGAATAAAGAAATTTGGGGAAATTTTAGAGCAGAATAGAGGAAATCAAGCCCATTTTAAATGCCACAAACTACCTTGTGAACTATTTTATGTTCAATAACATTCAAAAATATCATTAGTGTCTCTCTATTTTTTTTTGCAAGGCAAGTGGGGTTAAGTGACTTGCCTAGGGTCACACAGCTAGTTAACTGTCAAGTGTCTGGTCTGAGACCAGATTTGAACTCAGGTCCTCCTGACTCCAGGGCCAGTGCTCTATCCACTGTGCCACCTGGCTGCCCCAGTCTCAATATCTTCTGATGGAGAATTTCTCATCATATGTCCAACCAGGGGGTTGGACATCTTGCTCCCATAACTCATACATAAGAAAATGTTTTGGAAGGTGCTGGACTTTGTTGCATATCTCTCTTTGAAATAGAATCCTTTCTCAAATTGTCTCCAGAATTTCCTCATATCCAACCTGTTTGCCAAACTGGCTTCCCTGTTCTGTATACATGATACCCATCTCCCTTCCCTATGCCTTTTCACTTGCTGTCCTCGTTCCTGGAATGCACTCTTTCCTCAACTTTGACGCAACTCGGGTACCATCTTCTGTATGAATCCTTTCTTGATCCTCTTGACTGCTAATGCCTTTTCTCCCAAACTACCTTGTATTTAACTACTATGTGTAGATTTGTATTTATCCACTTTGTATTTATTTTTATATTTACTTATTGTCTCACTAGGATGTGAACTCATTGTGAGTAGGGATTATTTAATTCTTTGTTCTTGGATCTTTAGCACCTAGTGCAATGTCTGCCACATGGTGGTTGTTTAATAAATACTTGATGGTTGGTTGATTGATAGTTTTCCCCCTTTCTAGTTCAAATATGTGTCCTTGAGGTTGCTTTTCATCTACCATTCCAGAGCTTGCTTAGTAGATACCTGATAATATTTATTTTTGGCTTCACTACTTTCTTCATTCCTATTCATATGTTGCATGAGATTAGTGGGCTGTCACCCTTCATACAGAAAAGTGTTTTAAAAAAATGGATCTAGTCACATAGGAATCTCAGCGTTTCCAGATGCTTTTCTAACCTTTGCCGGTATTCCAACACTGTGTGTGACACCAGTGCCTAGTGATTTCAGAGACTGCATGATATCAAATCCTGGCCACATTACATTTTCTCATCAGTTTCCTCCAGTTTTTCAAATTCTTTACCTGCCTCTTCTTTAATAGTTCAGGGGCATGTCTAATTCCCCTGAGAAGGCTGATAACTTGGGGTATTGAAATCCTTGCACTGGCTATATCCAGCCTCATCTCCATCCCCAGATGTTGACTTCCTCTTATATATGGAAGTGCATATAATATATATGCACCTCCCGGCATCTTTAGACAATCTTTTTGTAGGAAAGATACTTTTGAATCTTTATTCTATATCTTCTTTCTCAGAGGCGCTCTCTGTCCTCTCTCTCTCTCTCTCTCTCTCTCTCTCTCTCTCTCTCTCTCTCTCTCTCTCAGTTTCTAGATATTCTTGCCAACTATTATCTCACCAGGGATTTTATTTTTAGAATAATTTCCTTGTTAAATGAATGTATAGAAAACAGACAGGATTTTGTCTCTTCATGCTGATTAATGTTTCACATCTCTCCAAAATATCTATAAAAATCAATTGATCAATGAACATTTATTATTATGTGCTGTGTGCTTACATTGAGAATACAAAGCAAAACATTCCCTGTCATGGAGAGCTTATAATCTAGCTTAGACAGTGTGTATATGTATGTATATATATATATATATATATATATATATATATATGTACACACACACACACATATACATATATATATATAATAAATGCAAATAAATACAAATTTTTTTGTGTGTGTATGTGGGAAAAGGCACTAGCAGGTGAGGAATCTGAAATGGCTTCATCTCAAAGGGGGTTCTTAAACTGAGCCTTGAAGGGAACTAGCTATTTCCATCACATGAGGCAGGTTCAAAGTCATTATCTTTCAGGTCTTGAGGCACTCCTTTAACTAGCAGTACTCTATATTTTCCAGGTACATTGCTTTGCACCAGCGTTCTAGAAATCTAGCATTTGTTTCTAAACACACTATTTGATCACCATAGCAATAAAAAAAATAATACTTCAATGTCACCTTGACATACAACAGTACAATAGTAATTTTCAAACAACTGGTCTGATCTATTAAAAGAACAATAACACATCTGAAAACACCATTTCCAATCATAGCCTGACCCCCCCCCAAAAAAAAAACTCCAAATGTGTCCCTGCAAGGCATTGGATATCTATAAAAGAGATCCTGAATAAGCCACAGCCCCCTTCAAAGGCGACTCCATGTTCTAGGTATTTTGTGGATCTGAATCCTATCCAAACCATAGCTCAAAAGCCCCCATTAATGTGTTTTACTTTTTTTTTTTTTGACTCAGTCAGAAGACATTTAGTGTAAAGTAAAGCCATTTAATGAAATAATTAAGCCAAACTATTTTTCTCCTATGAACCTTGAACTCACTCTCCCACAAATACATCTACCTTCGGTATGAAAAGTATACATACCTAGGGATCATATGTGGTGCATGTATGCAGAGAACATATGGATGGAGGTATACCTCATACTTTTGATGCTGTAGAACTGCCAGTGTTTTCTGGTGATGCCATAATATTACTCTCCATTAGTCACTACCTTAAAGCAGAAATGTCAAATGTGTGGGGGGATTAAAGTGAAACTTTCTAATCTCAGGTATGACATTAAATTGTAATTGGGAAATATTTAACAAAATAAATAAAAATACAATAGAATATATTATGATCTATCATGTTAACATATGGTTTTCTAAGTCAATATGCCACCTCCAATGATCCTTATATACCTTTTACTGTCCTCCATTTCTATTTGAGTTTGACATTACTGACCTAAAGGATGTTGCTCTCAGCTGGTCTTTGGAGGGGTGCATATTATATGTACTCCAGCTGTCTTCAATTCTCCAGCTATCTTCAGAGTGACCTAATATGTTGCCTAGCTGACTAGGAATGCTGTACAGCCAAATCTTGATTAGTGTCAATAATGAATCCTATGAAGTGGTCACATGCTTTGAAATAATAATATTTGAAATTATAATTATGTACAATGTGGTAATTTGTTCCAGCCCATGGAGACATGCAGTGTGAATTTGAATAATGTGGCAATTTCATGGAATTCCTTACTTGTACTAATCATGACCTAGTTGTAATTAGTAGGCCTCTCCCCTGCAAAGAAAGGTTATAGCTCTTTTAACCACTTCCACCATCTACTGTGGTTAATAAAGCTCTCTCTTCTTGAGGAAAGGCACAGCTATTTCAACATCCTCTTTTAGCTACCTCGGCCACCGATTGAATGTATTGTGATTAGTAAAACTTTCTCCTGAAGGGAAGGACTATCATTCTTTTGGTCTCCCCATGTGCTTGAGCTATAGTTTTGTCTGAGGTGATGACTTTGGAGTCCTCTGTTATCCTTCCATCCATCCAGTGGGGAGACTATGGTTAGGCAGTAGGCTTCTCCTCTAGAGGCAATCTTCATCCAACTCTCTCAGTCCATGACCACAAAGTTCCTCAGACAGCTCTGTGGAACACTGGCACACAGCAATTCACCTAGAGAACTGGGAGACCCCAATAGCAATAACTGTTCTCCTTTTAGCCAAGCTGTTCACAGTGATATGTAATAACTAGGCTAGGATTATCTTTGCTTTCTGAGTTCTCATCTGAAAACCCATCTTAGTTCTTAGGCTCCTTGACTAGGAAAATATCCTTAGAGCTTTTCTTCCTCAGACTGAAAAAGGACCTGAATGATAGTGTGGTGAGAAGACTATTTCTAACCTCCATATGCTCCTCAGTTCAGGTTCAATGCAAATAACAAGGGTGTGGTTGGCAAGAGAAGGCTGAGAAGTCTGGTGACCTTTGTTACGTTTATCTCCAGCAAGACATCATAGTCTAGTGTCTTTGTGGTCTTTATGTATGTTGCAGGCACTTAATAAATATTTATTGAATTAGATAATAAGTTTTCTATCAACTAGTTCCCTGTTATTTAATCTGATAGGTCTTGGTAAACCAGAGCAATCCCAGGACTGCACTTTGAGAACCTCTAAATTAATACTTTATTCCTTCTAAGTGATATATTTGCATTTTCCTTTTTTTGGAGACAATGTCATAACTCAGAATAGAGGTTTATGGTGGGAATTTTGGGAACCCTGACTAGCTACTGAAAGAGAGTTTGGGACAGGTAAATATTTTTTTTTTTGGTGTCTCAAATCATATCACACAAGCAGTTATTTCCTATATATCTATCTTGCTTTTTCTGACATGACACTCCATCTTCCTTTTTTTGTGCATTTTCAGGGATGGTCCTCCATGTCTGGAATGCATGCTGTCTTTCCTTGCCTCTGTATCCTGGCTTCCTTCAAGTCCCGGGTAAAACTCCTGCAAGAAATGCAGTGTGAATTTGAAAAATATGGCAATTTTTGCAAGAAACCTTTCCCAGTTCCCCATAATGTTAATGCTTTTCTTCTGAGATTATCTCCAATTTATCTTGTTCACATAGTTGTTTGCATGTTGTCTCCTCCAGTAGACTGTGAATGTCCTGAAAGCAGGGAGTATTTTTGCTTTTCTTTGTATCCTAAATACTTAGTCCATTGACTGGTATATAGTTAGCACTTAAATTCGTGTTGACTTTTTGGGATCTTTCTTAATGTCTCTAGGCCTTATATTTAAGACAAAGGATTGGATTACATGACTTGCAAGGTCCCTTCCAACCAGTAGTATACTCTTAAATGTTTAAAAATTGACTCTCCAAAAATTGTATGTATGATATGCTTTTATGTTTAATCTGAATTATTAACATTTTTCTTCCCACTTCCTTAAGGATAGATTATTAGCAAAATAATAAACTAGCTTTGGAGCCTGTTTGAGCTGACTCCAGAACACTACTGCTTCCAACTCTAAGAGTCTATGAGCGTGTATAATGGAAATGGAACTAGATTTGTAGATTGAAAAGAAGCCAAATAAATGTATGCCAAACACAATCTTTGTTGTTGTCCATTTCCTAATCTGTCATATGAAGGGGTTGAACTGAATGATGACTGAGGTCTCTTCTAGCTCTAAATCTATGAAGTTGTGATGCTTGACACTAAAATGTCACCTTCCATTAGCAAGAATAATGAAATTCCTCTGGATAGTATATTTGTTAGATTCTCTTTAGACTTGGGTCCATATATCTCAGTAAGATGAATAACTTCGTAAAGATTCCAGTATGCTGGTATAACCTGTGTCAGAGTCCATTGGTATTGGATTCTCTCCTTGTTGGTAAAGATCAATGCCCTGAGCTGGTGTGAGGGTCAGGTAGGTTTGAAAAGAGTGGGAAAGCCCCACTCTCTTCAGGTGTCTTCATGTCTCTTCAGTCTCTTCAGTTTTTTTTCAGGTTTTACAGTCATTAAGGGCTTTGGGTGCTTCTGCCTTCCAGCATTTCTGGACTCCAGTGCTTCAAGAGAGAAGATGGACTAGGCCAACCCCACTTCAGGTTGCTGAATGGAAAATAAGGCTATGGGAAGAAGCTGACATGAGAGGACCTGGCAGCCTCCATTGTATTCCTATTCCAACTTGCTACACCAGAGATTTTAGGGTGTTTTCCCCTTTGATGGGATCTAGGGTTCTCTTTCTTGTTTGAATTGAGGTATTTTGCTCCCAGTGGGAGTGCTCCTTATTCTCTATTGTGTGTGTGTGTGTGTGTGTGTGTGTGTGTGTGTATTTTTTTTCCTCTGACTTCTGTTATGCTATTGACTTGGATAAGTGGGCTTCTTTGCTAGATAGATATAATTCTCATCTGGTACCCTTGAAGAAGAATAGTGAGGGGGAGGAAGAGGCTAGAGATATTTATTCTGCCTCCCTTAAAGTTACACAATGAAACCCCTATGATACATACACATGGGGGACAGCTTGCTACACTGGGAACTAGAATAATGAGGTCAAGTGTGATGATAATAACATGTAGCAACCTTCTGGTGCTACTCCTCCAAACTCTGAACTTGTCATAGGATAATTCACCAGGGGGCAGATGACTCCTTTTTTTTTTTTGTGAGGCAATTGGGGTTGACTCACCCAGAATCACACAGCTAGTGAGTATTATATGTCTGAGGCCAGATTTGAACTTATGTTCTCCTTATGTCAGGACCTGTGCTCTATCCACTGTGCCACCTAGCTGCCCCATAAATGATTACTTTTCTTCTTAGGGTTCTAGGAGTAACTCTGGGGAACTAGGATTTTTATCATTATTGCTTTTCCTTGATTATCAGTGATTAGTCTTAATTTTCATTGAGTAAGGTGGTATAACAAAAGCAGCTGGTATATCAAGACATAGAGAGGATTAAGGAATGTAAACTGGAGAGTTTTGATTACATCAAATCAAAAAGGTTTTGCACAAGCAAAACCAATGCAGCCAAAATTAGAAGGAAAACAGGAAACTGGGAGATTTTTTTTACAACAAGTTTTTCTGATAAAAACCTCATTTCTCAAATATTTAGACAACTGAATCAATTTTGTAAGAATATGATTCATTCTCCAATTGATAAATGGTCAAAAGATACAAACAAACGTTTTCAAAAGAAGAAATAAAGATATCTATAGTCACATAAAAAAACATTGTTGATTAGAGAAATGCAAATTAAAACAACTCTGAGGTATCACCTCACACCTATCAGAATGGCTAATATGACAGTAAAAGAAAAATGACAAATGTTGGAGGACAGGTAGAAATATAGACACTAATGCAATGTTGATGGAGTTGTAAATTGATCTAATCTTTCTGGAGAGTAATTTGGAACTATGCCTAATGGGCTATCAAACTGTATACCCTTTGACCCAGCAATACCATTACTAGGTTTGTACCCGAAAGAGATCCAAGAAAAGGAAAAGGACTTATATGTACAAAAATATTTATAACAACTCTTTTTGTGGTGGCAAAGAACTAGAAAATGAGGGGATGCCCATCAATTGGAGAATGGCTAAACAAGTTGTGGCATATGATTGTGATGGTATAGTATTGTGTTATAAGCAATGATGAGTAGGATGATTTCAGAAAAACCTGAGAAAGCCTACATGAACTGATGCAAAATGAAATGAGCAGCACCAGTAGAATATTATACATAGTAACAGCAATATTGTATGATGATCAACTGTGAATGTCTTAGCTATTCTCAGCAATTCAATGATCCAAGAAAATTCCAAAGGATTTATGATGAGAAATGCTATCTACTTGAGAAAGAACTGATAGAGTCTGATTGCAGATTGAAACATAGTTTTTAAAAAAAAAATTCTTTATTAATCCTGTTTTAATTTTTTTTGGTATGTGGTTTGTTTTTTTTTGTAACATGGCTAATATGAGAATGTTTTGTGTGACTGCACATGTATAATCTATATTAAGTTGTTTGCCTTCTCAAGGAAGAGGAGGAGAAAGAGAGAGAAAATATGGAACTCAAAAAAAAGAGAATGTTAAAAATTTTTTTCATGTATAATTGAGAAAAAATAAAAATTAAATGAAAAAAAGATAAAGTTGGTATAAAATATTCCTTCCAAACTGGGAGCACACTCTCCCCCTGTACACACAAGGTCCCTGGGGAAGATGCACCCAGACTCAGAGTATAATGGTAGTGATGCATATCAGATGTGGCCAAAGGGTAAACCTAAAGCTTGTGGTTACAGGAAGTATATTTCTTCCTTAGTAGAATCTTCATTAAGTTGCCCTTAGGGTTAGCTCTCTGTTGGAATCTGAGGACTGGTACATTTCTGGAGTTCATAGCCAACATTTCTCTCCCAAGAATGGTTTTACTCTCTGAAGCTGTTTCCATCTTTGTTTTTCCACATCTGTCTACAAGTACTTCCTCTGTCATCAACCACTGTTACTACTCTGCTACCCTTTCTAACCACCAGAAACTTTTGATAGTAGACTGTGTCACAGTCACCTGAGGGGACGGGAGGAGAAAGAAGGGGTGGTGATGGAGACTCTTTCCTCTCCCCAAGTAATTCCCTCTCAGTTGCTTCGCTGGAATGCCCCTCCTCCCCCAATAGACTGTCCTGATGTTGGAATAGCTTGTTGTCTTGCGTAAGCAACTAGGTAGAGCGACATGGGAAGAGAGAATGCATATTAAAAAACAAAGAAACAACAAAAAGTTAAATAAACCAAAGACATAAACAAAACTGTAAAAAGAAAAACATTTCCCAAAGCAACCAGACCAATTTACAGGTCTAGCAATCACATATTAATGTGTTTATCTTTCCATTTTGAGTTTCCTTTGAACAAGCTTTCACCTGCATAAACTATTCAAGGAAAAAAAAAAGGAGGATGGTACTCAGAAGGAAGTTACATAGAGTACAACCAGTCTTCCTGTCCCAAAATTTAAAGAAAACAGTAACAACAAAAAAAGTTGAGCATCTAATGAATAAAGCCAATGAAAACAGCTGATCTTCAAAATGAACTTCTAATCTACTCCTATTCCAAAAGCCCTAACTATCAAAGACGAGTAGAGAACTGCAAACATATTTATTGTGACTGAGTTATCTAAATAGTTAAAATAAAAGCCTTTTTTGGGGGAGGCAGAGTAAAGAGAAACCCTAACTTACTATTTGGAAAATTGCCTCAATTTTTCTACTTAGATTCAAAGACTTTCAAAACCAGAAGGAACTTTAGAGATCATCTACCTCAAACTGCCTGTTTTACAGATAAGGACACTGAGTCTTGGAGAGGTTAATGACTTTCTCAGGGTCATTGGCCAAGTAATGGCCAAGAATCCAGGTCTAGCTCCCAGTCTGGTGTTCTTTCCATTAATATAACTTATTAAGTTTTTTTAAAATCTTCTGTTGTCTGACTTATAAGTATGTTATCAATTTAAGTGTTCAGCCCACTCTGTTTGGGTAGACACTCTGGCTAAAGGTATTTATTACCATTGCTCAGCCATTCGTGATTTTTGTTCAAATCATTCTGCTGGCTAAGGGGAAAAGAGAGATGAACATTTATTTAGTAAATATAGTCAGTAAAGATAGCATCACTCATATCATAGAAACACATCCATAATGGAAGGTACTTACCTGTTCATTCCAGCCTCTCTCAGCTGTTTCCTCCCCTCTCCTCCTTTCCACCCCAAACATAACCACTTTATTTGATTACATGGATGGACTTTTTCAGTTATGTGTGGATGAATCTTTGCTGTCAGTGTCAAAACATCCTGTGTGCTTTGTGTCAGTACATTGTATGAGTAGCCAGGAAGTTTCTCATCATTACCTGCTGGTCTTTGCTAGCAGGAAATTAAAAATTAAAGTGAAAATCACCCAGAGAGAAACCTTAATTGGCAGAGAAAATAACTTTTCTTCCCTTCCTCTTGCACTGATCACTGCTTGTTTTAATCTGGCTCTTCAAACCATCCTTTCCTTTGTTTTGCAGCCAAAATTTTTGCATTTTAATTTAATTTTGTCCTACTCATTCATTTATGGTGCTATCAACTTAGGTAGCTTCCCTTCATCTAAAAATTATGGAAACAGCAAATGCAAAGAGTGGATGCCACTGGCAACAGCTCATGATTGGGGAGATGTTTTTGAAAATGTACGCTGACAAATCTGCACAAGTAGGTTAATTTCAAATTTGTTCTGCAGTCAGGAGCAATAGATACAGCTTTCAAGGATACAAAAAGTCTGCTGTTAATCAATTAATTGACAATTATTAATCAAGCACATACTATGTGCTAGGCTCTACTCTAGGCATTGAGAATATAAGTACAAACATGAGAGTTTCTTCTCTCAAGGAACTTACACTCTCATATCATCTACACATCATATGATTCATGCAGATGACTCACTGTGAAGGACCACCCCTGTTCACTTCCATCAACATTTCTTTAAATTTGTCCACATTCTTTGGTCTGGCATTTCTTAGAATTTCTTTGTGCCATATGACTTTATTTGCTTCTACTTTCTAGTTGTCTCCTTTTATATCCCAAACACTGATAAGTTACAATGGG